ACTTGTGCATGGAAGCAATGCTAGGAATCTCTCTGTATAGCTATCCTTATCTCAACTAGCAAAAACACTTTGTCTTATTATTGCTTGTGTCTCTCTTCAACAAAATTGGAAACAGGGCAGAACAGGTTCTGCCTTTAAGCGAGGGATAAAGGGAGGAGATGGAGGGACCCAGGGCAGGAGCTTGAAATGGCCCAAACAATGTATGCACATATGAATAAATGAATTAAAACAAGAATATAAAACAGTTCATGCTAAGGGGAGGACATTAACGGTAGGGGGAGGTTTAATGAAGAGCATAAAGATAAATATGGTGGATGTACTTTCTATGTAGATATGAATATGAAACATTCACACCTGTGGAAATCGCCATAAGAAGGGGACTAAGGTAGAAAGGAGAATAATGGAGGGAATGACCCACTTTGGGGTATAAAACATAAATATGTGCACACACATATACAAAAATGTTGCAATGAAACTCTCTATGTAACCACCATATACAAAGAAAAATGTCCTTCGTCTGAATAAAAAAGAAGGACAGGAAGGTAAAACAAGTCTTGACCAGGGGTTGGTAGCAGTGGGAAGGACAGGGCATAATGAAAGGATGGTGGAAGTACTGTGTATACTCGTGTATGAAAAATGGAACAATGAATCCTATTCAAACTGTTATAAGAAGATAGGGAAGGGACATAAAGGAGAAATATGGAGGGGGTGAATCTAAGTAAGATATAATGTAAGCTCTTTTGTAATGTCCCAATGTACCCCCAGTACAAAAATAACATGCTACTAAATAAATAAAAGAAAAAACAGGGATTGAAGAAAAATAAATTAATTTACTATTCCCATACAACAGAGTCTCAATATACATTAGCTACAGGTTTGCAAACACAGGTTGCAAAAGTTAGCTTTGTTTTCAGTATTTTTCTCCAGCTAGATTTATTTTGCAAAAGAAAAGGGAAAATTATCTGAAATCCTCTATGGAAAGCTTTTTCTGATGGATTCAAGGCTGTATCTGCCACTTTTGACCCAACACGGAAGGCGCCCCCATATCCCCTTCTCAAAGCAAAGCTTTTAGACAGCAGCCATAGGCTTATGTTGAATGTCACATCAGGAGTGAAACCAGATCAATTGGAAACGCTGTTGTTCCCAATGTTGATGCAAACTGAAGCTATCAAATTAGAAATTCTAATGTAAAATTAAGAAATTAATACTTAATTGTTCAGTTGAACGAGTGAAGCAATTAATGCAGAATACTGGATTTAGGTATATCACACAGGGAAAAGATGAAAACCAAACCTTTCTCTAGGGTGGTGAAAAGAGACACTGAGAAAATATACCAGCAAGAGTCAGTGAAACGACCAGCCCTTCTTGGGGATGTCATTAATTAGCCAGTCAGTCCTAGATACTCGTTTTAATCTATAAAAACAGAAGATGGGTGCCCAGACTCCACTTAAAGAATTACTACAATTGTCCTTTGAGGTTTTCATCAACCAGGATTTAATGGAAGAATAAAGAAGGATGTAGAGAGGTTAGTTACAGGCAGAGAAGCAGGCCCAACTGTTTGTTAAAAGCAAGGTTGAGCATTGACTATGAGTATGGACAGGCAATTTCTGTCTAAATAAAAGTCTCTTGGAGGAATAACCCAGGAAACTCTAAGCAGCAGGTTGGGTATGATAACCTGAAGGGAAAATGTTGTAAATGTGGACAACTGGGGCACTGGAAAGGTGAATGCCCTAAGAAGGGGTCACCACATGCAGGGACATGCCTCCTGTGCTGTAAGGAAAGCACCAGAGAAAGGGCTCTCTGTCTCTCTCAGCAGAGGGTGGGAAGACTCTGTGTCTGAAATGGGAGCTCTTGAGGAATGAAGATGCCAAAGGGTTCCTCCTACTGGAGCCCCAACCCATCAAATAACAATATTCTATGAGGAACTTCAGGTGTCTCTACAAGTGGCTAACCTCTTTCTAAATGGAGCTGGATGATCACCTGGGTTGATGGAATCCACCTCCTAACTTACAGGTATGGAAAATTTTTTTTCTATCAGATATTTCTTGTGTTTCCAAGATGCCCAACAACATCTATATGTATATATGTGTGTGTATGTATGTATGTATGTATGTATGTATTTGTATGTGTATAAGAATATATACATAAATGTGAATATAAGTGTGCGTATACGTATGTATATTTGCTTACACTGAAGCAAACTGAGGGCTTCGTGGTTTGCTATGAGCTCTCCCACTTGAGCAATTCTTAGCCTTTTTTGTTTTAATTATTTTTTTAGGTATGCCCTCTGACCACGATCTTTCCAACCACAGCTTCCCTCAAAGCAGAGATTAACAGGTGAGCACCACCACACCCAACTTAGTTGAGATGCGAGACTCATTCACTTATTGTAGAGGTGACTTCAAACCTTGATGCTTCCTATCTCTATCCCCAATAACTGAAATTACTTTCAGCATACCTTTGCTTTCAGTGTGGGCAAGGGTTTAGACCCTGAGTCAGACTCTATGGCCAGGGCTTCAGGCAACACAGAAACACAGGAGGTCTTTGGTCATTTGAAGGTCCAGAAATAGGACTTAAATCTCTAGCTAGGCCCAAGTGGTCTAGCTAACTTCTGAGATAAGATGTAGAAAAGGAACAGGAAGATTGAGCTTACAAATCCTAGTTGTTCCTAGAAAAGAAAAAAACAAAACAAAATGGATAGAAAGTTATTCCATGATTATAGAGAGGATGGTTCTACTGAAAGTAAGATCTGAATCATCAGGTTAAAATGATGTAACAAATCCACAGGGATAAGGGAACTACCAACATTGAGACCTATCCTGAAACATTGAGATCTATTCCTTTAAAGGAATAGAGTATAAGGTATACCTGATGTGTGTGTGTGTGTGTGTGTGTGTGTGTGTATGTGTATACTGAATCTTTCAACAGTTTATTAGAAAGAATGTAGACATTTTTAAAAATCCCCACTGTCACAAACATAAATTGAGTATTTTTTTCAGCGTAGTAATAAGCTGAATCAAGAAAAGAAATACCAAATGCAAGAGTTCATTAACATTATCTAACTCATTCCACATACTGACAGTGCCAATATGAATCTGGTCTAAAATATACAAACTCTCAAGCAACAATGTACAACTTTCTTCTTCCTTCATGATAGGAGATGTAAAAGCTTAAGGGCCAAACAACACCAAATATACAGGCTTCAAAAACCATCTAAGTTAGGGTATTCACTAGTTTTACTTAGGATATACCTGGCACACTGACAAGTGATCACTTACCTACAATAATGTGAAGTATATTTTTTGAAAAGTAAACTTACTGGAACAATCCTGAAGTGTACACCAAAGGAATGGCAGGTTATCAGGTTTACAGTTTTAGCCAAATTGTTTCAGCCACTTTTGAGTCTGTGTTCTAGAATCTACAATTTAGTCATCTTTCCCTATGATGAAAGCTTCCTATCAGGTCTGTAACTATGTTATGAAGTAAAGGAGACTTAGGTGGAATGTTTTTATCACAACTGCTGTATCAAGTGTCTAGGACCTCAATAGCTTCTTGAAGTCTCAGAAACATTCATGCATAAGGTTACTGCCTTACTGACTTAAATTAACCCCATATGTATGTACCATACAATGGCACATTAGCAAGCCTTAGTGAAATTAGAAAAAAAAAACAGGTTGAACAAATGGATTATAGGAGGCAAACACAGAATTTGCCTTTAGAGCTATAAACTCAGGAATTGTCGTAATCATGCAATCTTAACTTATTTTTCTTTCTCTAAATCCAGATGATAATATTCCTCACTCCAGATCTGGCATTTTTTAAATCATCACTGTCTTGTGAATTATCATTTGCTCTGTCTACTTCTGGTAAATCTCCATTGTCATCACCACCCATGTTGCTCATCATCTCAGAGAAAAGATCAAAATGAGACATGTCTTCATCTGAGTGATCTTCCCAGACTTTCCAATTATTGAAGTCCTCACTAAGCCAGTTAAGCTTTGCCCTTCTTTTTTGATTACATTATTGTACTGGGGTACATTGTGACAGTTACAAAAGTTTTTACCCTGTATCATCATCAAATTCACCCCATCCATCATTCTCCCTTACCCCACTCCTCCCATTCCTGGAATAAGTTCAACAGGTCTCATTTTTTTCCATTTTCATACATGAGTACATAATATTTCTACTACATCAGCATCCTTCACCCTTTCCTTATATCCTCCCCCTCAAATTGTTACAAGACCCAGACCCAGCCTATTTTACCTTCCCGCTCTACCTTTTTCAAAAAAGACATTTTTGTTTGTCTAAGGTAGCTCTATAGGAAGTTTCCTTGTGACATTCCATGTATATATGTCTTATAACTCGAAGTGGTTCATGTCCTCTATTTTTCTCCTTTTTACATTAGTCCCATTCACCATCTTCCATCTTTCCCTTCCCTCTCCTCTTAGTGACAGTCCCTTAGTGTAACCCGTTTTTCATAAAACTACTTGTATTTGTATTGTGTCTATTTCCAACATAAGAGAGAAATATGCAGCCTTTGTCTTTCTGAGCCTGGCTTCTTCACTTAACATGATGTCCTTCAGTTGCATCTATTCTCCTCAAATCACATGGTTTCATTCTTCCTTATAAAGGCTGAATAAAAGTGCAATACACACACACACCCCACATAATCTTAATCCATTTATCAGTTGTAGGGCATCTGGGTTGTTTCCATAGCTGGCTATTATGAACAGTACTGCCATAGACACTGGTGTGCAAGAGTGTTTATTGTATCTTGACTTACATTTCTTCGGGCATATCCCTAGGAGTGGTATCACTGGATCATACAGCAGTTCTGTTTTTAGTTTTTTGAGGAACCTCCATATTGTTTTCCAGAGTGTCTGTACTAATTTACATTCCGCCAGCAGTGTATGAGGGTTCCTTTTTCCCCACATCCTTGCCAAGCTAGTGCAGGAAAGAGCAGGGGATACACCGGAACAAATAGGCATAGGCAATGAGTTTCTAAATAGAATTCAAATGGCTCCACAGCTAAGAGAAAGGATTGACAAATGGGACTGCATGAAACTAAAAAGCTTCTGCACAACACAATGGTCACCAGATCCCAAAGAGGCAGTCCACAGAATGGGAGAAAATCTTTGCCAGCTATTCATCTCACAAAGATTAATAACCAGAATATATAGGGACTCGGAAAATTGAACTTCCAAAACTCAATGACCCAAAGAAGAATAGGGCAAAGGAAACGAGCAGAGCGTTTCAAGGAAGAAGTGCAAATGGGTAAAACCACACGAAGAAATGCTGCACATCCCGGCCATAAAGGAAATGGAAAGAAAACCCTGTTAAGATTCCACCTTGCAGCCATAGAATGGCCGTCATCAAGACCTCGCCTTTCTTTCCTTAATCCACATTCCCCATTTCGGAAACATCACAAAATGATCTGTCCTTCCTGTTAGGCTTGTAACCACTGGATCAGTACAGTGAAAAAGATCAAATTCAGGTAAAGCTTTAAAATCATCCCTTCCTCCCAGACAACGGGAAGTAAGCTCGGGTTTTTCAAAGTTCACACGAACACCGTTACTGTGTCCAACACAAAAGTCAAGGAAGACCAGTGCTTCCATCATACCTTTTCGCAGACACAGGCTGCACGGGGCACGGGGCAGGGGGCAGGCGAAGGAGTGGACGGGCCTCTCTGGCGGCGGCTGCTGTGGAGTGGACTGCGCGCTGGCGGCCAAGCCGGCGTTTTCTCCTGCTCGTGGCCTCTTCTCGCTCCCCTCAGGCAAAGGCGGCAGCGAGCCTGACCTGGATTCCCAGAATGCACCGCGCACAGAGAGCCACTCCTCTGTGAGGAGAGTGAGGGAAAAGGGCGGGAAAGCGAGAATGAACGTGTGCGCATGCGTGTGAGTGCACGCTTTTGTGTGTGTGTGTGTGTGTGTGTGTGTGTGTGAGAGTGTGTGTATGTGTGTTCGCACGCTCATGCATGTAAGCAAGTGAGGGTGAAGCATGGCGACGCATGGTAATACAGCAAAATGTGTTTCATATATGATTTATAGTATATACAATATGATGTTAAATGGTTTATACTGCATATATATATTGGCTTGGGCAATAGGTTCTTGCATATATCAGAGCATTGTCATTTTAACATTAATAAAGTGTTTATGAAAAACACACATGAAAGGACAACCCCTCTACCTTAAAGGAGAATCAACATAAGACTGTAGGAACTGGCCTGTCCTCTCTGTCTCTCCTCTCCCTGGTTTTAGAAATGACTGCCCACTATATACTGTGCTCCTGCCATTACCATCCACCAAGGCAAAAAGCAATAAGCAGTCAACGTTGGACTTGAACCTCCGAGACAGGGAACTAAATACGTCTCTGTACTTTAGCAGTAACCTATGTCACTTATTTCATTATAGTGACCGAAGCTGACCAAGACTGTCCCCTTCCTGCCAGGTTCTACTGAGATAAGTAAAAGGATCAAAACCAAAACAAACCAGCAAGCAAACAAGCAAACAAACAAAAACCCAAGAGTGCTAGGAAGCAGAGAAAACAAGCAGGCGACATAGGGAGTTGTAATCCTGGAAGATATTGAATGGTCTGCAGGATAATATCAGGTGTAAGAGGGAGTTTTCCCAGGGAAGTCCAAGTTCAAAGTCAAAAAATGCAAAGCACTGGAAAAGGAAGCATAGGATGGCAGTTCCAGGCTTAGCCTTTCAGAGGACTGGCAGGTTCTCCTTCCTTCCTTTGGGAACTCTTGGAACCCAGCTGCCACACTGTGAATACCACAAACCACATGGAAAGGAACTGTAGTCAACAGCCCCACTGAACTGCCAGGAACCAACCAGTATCCCTGCCACATGTGAGCAGGAGCCATAGGAAAGCTAGGCCCAGTGGGATATCCAAATGAACACGCTGTAGCCTACAGGATATGGAGCAGAAAACAAGCCCATCTTAGCAAAGTAAGCCCAGAGAATCATTGTAGAGGAATAAAATGGGCACTGTTTTAAGCCACTAAGTTTAGGATTATCACATAGACATAAATAACCAAAAAGAATGCCCAGTGGCAATGACAGGCACTGAAAGAATCTTAGTGCAATCACTGGGCCAGTGGAACTGGACCCTGTACTTTTCTCCCTTCTTCCCCTTTCCTTAAACAGAGATTTTTTTTTCCCTTGGCATTTCTGGGATTTGATCTCAGTGCTTCTCATTTGATGGGATGGTACCCTACTTGCTTGAGCCATTCCTCCTGCTCTTTTTGCTCTGGTTGTTTTGGAGATAGGTCTTAGGTTTTGCTTAGGCTAGCCTGAACTAAACTTCTCCTACCTTACACTCCTGCCATAACTAGAAATGACAGGTCCCAACCACTATAGAAATCTTTATTCCCTTGAGACAGGGTCTTAGGAATGAGATGCTTTCATCACCTAACATTGCCTCTGGGCCTTTGTTTTGGTTATTTATGGCTGTGTAATAATCCTAAAATTAGTGGCTTACAATGATGCACATTTTATTTCCCACCCCCTGCAATGATTCCATAGTTTTATTGGGCTCCAGCTGGGCCACATTTTAGCTCTGTGAGATGTGGGCTGCAACTGTTTCATGTGGCTATCCCATTGGGCATGGCTGTTCCAGAGGCTCCTGCCCATAACTGGTAGGTCTATTGGTTCGTGGCTGGCACTAAGCAGTTTGGCTACACTACCTTTCCGTATGGCTTATGTTTTAGACAGGGTGACAACTGAGTTCCAAGAGTACCCAGAGGAAGGAAGCAGAAGCTGCCTGTCCTCTCAAAGGCTAAGCCTGGAATTGGCATTCTGTCTTTCCCTTTCCAGTGCTTCCTATTTGTTGAACTCGGGCTTATTTGGGACAATTCCCACTAATATCTGCTATTACCCCTGTTTTGTCCTCCTGCAAACTATTCTATATTCCATACTGAAATCTCCTTTTGTGGTGTGCTTGCTTTCTCTGCTTCCTAGTAGTCTTGCCCTCTTATAGATTTTCTCTTTTTTTTTTTGTTTTCTTTTTTTGATTGCTTGTTTGTTTTAGCTTTGTTCCTTTTACTTTACTTATTTCAGTGGCACCTGGGAGGAAGGGGTGGTCTTTATTCAGCTATCATCACAATAATGAAACATCTAATATGGGCTACTTTTGAAATAAAGAGGTGTATTTAGATTTGAAGGTTCAAGCCCAAGACTGGGTGCCCCCATCTTTGGGCTTTGGTGAGGATGGTGGATGGGGCACATTGTGGTATGTGCTGTCACCCTGCAAGCCACATAGCCAAGAAGCAGGGAAAGGGTCAGATTCAAAAATCTTACCTTGATTCTCCTTTCAACAAAGGAGTTACTTTCTTATGTATATGGTCAGATAAAATTTTATTAATATTAAAATTACAAAACTTCACACATGTAAGAATGTATTGCCCAAAACTTTCTTTACATGTGAAAAATGTTCTGACTACATTAAGATTTTTCTTCATCTGTGTTGCTGTGGTTAGAAGTCAAAGGCCTGCCTTTTCATATGTGTATTTTTCCCCTTAAAAGTGATAGGTCTTCTGCCTGAATTCTCCTAAGATTTGTTCATTCTTGAAGTTCAATTATTTCCTCAGGATTTTTCTTGATCTTCCTAGAACTCTTATTCCTAAGTGTTCACATATTGCTTTAACCAGAAGTTTTAGATCTTTAATTTCAGAAGAATCTCCACCTATATAATCATGGAATAACTTTCTATCCATTTTGATTTGTTTTTCTCTATCAGGGAACACCCATTAGGTTTGTGCTCAATCATCCTGTTTCTTTTACCACAGTGTGTCAGATGTTACCTCTCCTATCCTGTTCTCTCCCTCTCCCCCTCCCTCACCCCCTCCCCTTCTCCCTGTCTCTCTCTGTCTCTCAACTTCTTTTGCTCTCCTTCTAGTGGCACTGGATATTGAACTCAGGGCACTTGGCTAGTCTGATACACTACAACTAGAGCCACACTTAGAGACCTTTATTCTTTGGTTTATTTTTGAGATAATGGCTTGTTTTATGCAGAGGAAGTCAGGTAGTGTAATCCTTCTATTTATGCTTCCCCTGTGGCAGGGATGAGATGCATCCACCATCACACCCAGCCAGCAAGGCATGTCCAGCTCCTGCAATGGGGAAAAAAGTCTCTGGTTGCTTTTCTTTTCTTTTCATTCTTCTCCCAACAAGCAGAAGACAGAGCCCTGGAGAATAGGGGAGGGGCAAAGTGCCATCTCTCACTGCTGAACTGTCAGGGGCATGGCAAGGAACTGAGCTCTCAGTGCTGAACTCTCAGTGATGCACCATAAAGCAGCAAAGGCTGAGAGCGGAGGCAGGCTGACAAGCCAACCTCCTAGAGGGGACACTGGCACCCAGGAGAGATCAGGAGAGTCATAAAGGCCAAGAGAGGGAAAATAACCTCCCAAAGCATGGAAGGAGGTGGATCCCAAAGCCCATATCTGGGACAGAGGGCAGCACTCAAAACTGAATTGTCCAACCACACTGAGGGAGGAGGTGACCAATCAGACCTGTAGCTGAAGAAAATCCCAGCTGAAAAAAGCTATGACCACCCTGCATGAGGTGGCAATTTTACCTCACCTCACAACTCCAACTAATCTTGTGGACAGAAGATTCAAAATACCACTCATAGCCAGTCACCTTGTGAGATCACATCAGAGCTTCCGTTTGAACACCAATACCAGGATTGGACACCTAAGGAATAACTCCAGAACTTTTATTAATAGACTTAACCAAACCAGTTCCTGAACTTAGTTTTTTGTTGTTGTCGCTGTTTATTGTGTATCTTTTTTTTCTCTCTCTTTTTTTATTCCTGTATTATCAACTCCACCATCATTACTCTCTTATCCCCATTCTCGTCCTCTTCGCTCTCCCTCCTTCTCCTGTACTATAATCCATTGTTCTCCCTCCCAACTACTCTTTTTGCCCCTTTTCATCCACTCTTTCCCCTGTATTCACCTTCTCCTCTCAGTCTCCTCCAACCTGTCAGCACACTACCCTAACCCCTACACACTCACTATCTGCTGACTAGTCTACTCTACAAACTGCACACAAACCCAGCCCCATGCAATCCCTGACACCAACACCCTCCACTACAATGGAAATACACCCAAACACACACACAAGGGCCACAAAACCCAGCAACAACCATATATATATATATATATATTATCATCAAGGGGGTTACTATAGAATATGTTAACAACTGTTCTGGGATTGAACTTGGGAACTTATTAGTGCTAAATTATATCCAGACCAGGGTCAGATAGAACACGTCAACCTAGCTAACAACCAAGTCAGCCAGAACACAAAAATTAAATCAGGGAAAGAAATCAGGAAATCAAATCCACCAACTAGCATACCAAAAATATAGAGTCACAGCACCAAGTAGAGTGATGAGAAGAAGAAGAAGGGATGGAAACCACTCTACTCAAAATAATCATTCAATACAGAACTGAGTGAGAAATGAAGAAAATGAATACCAAGTCCCTGACCTCAACAAAACAATGATAAATGTAAGTAAGGAACTCAGTGATGCCTACAAAAAACCCTCAAAGAAGAAATGTTGTAAGAAATCTCTGAGAAATTCATGGACAAGATATTAGACATGGTCAACCAGAATGTACAAGATGCAACCAAGAAATTTCAAGACACCAAAAACAAAGAATACGAGATGACACAGAAACAAATAAGGGAGCTTAGCAAGGACCTAAACAAACACCAAAGTGAAACAAAGGACACTATAAAAAGAGAGGTACATGAATTTAAGAGGGCCACACAAAATATAAAAGAAGAGTTGATCACAGATTTGGAAAACCTCAGAAGAAAG